CATACAAGAGCGTCCAAACCAGTTGCGGATGCCTAGGGGCCATTTGAATACGCCACCATTCGACCAACGCAGCAGGGGCCTATACAGGCAACACCCCCTCGGACAATGCAACACACCAGTAGCACACACCTCGAACTCGCTCTACAAGCATGTAAAAACAACTTTCATCCCTCTCACTCACGCAGTCAACACCAGCCCTGGCTTTTCTAGTGGTCAATGCTGCCTGAGACAGTAATGCAGGGTTCTGTGCACAGTGAAGGCCTCACTCTAGTGCTTCTGTCTTGTACCGATTGCCTAGGCTTCCATCTGACGACTGTAGTGATTTGAGCACGACCATTACTTAGACACCACAGGCGTATGATAAAAAGATTGGGGAGATTGGGGATAACTTCAATTCTAGTGCCGTGGACGGTTTAGAAAATGAAACAAATTGAGCTAACGGAAAGCAGCTTTTCAAAAGAGTAGGTTTCAAACGACAAATGTGCTGCCCCAGAGTATATGTGGGACGAGAAAGGAAATAAATGGCAAATTGCTAGATTGCATTGCGAACAGCGCTAAAGATAAACAACAGATATATTCATTTGAAGGATCCATTTCATCATATCATCATAGCCCCTATGTGATGGTCTGAAGGCGAAGCACATATATTCATCATTTTCCCGATCTCAACCGACAAAGCAAGGAGCCCGTGTTGCCGTGGTAGAGTATTGAACTCAGTGACCAAACGTCCCAGGTTCAAATCTCGGGGGTTCCAACCCTTGAGATTGGGTATGTCTGGCTGCTGACGGCTAACGTGCCAGAAATGGCCATTCCGGTCTTCCTTTGCTTTTTCGGATCCGTTTCATCAAGGTTATTATTATTTAGATTACGGAACAATAACCAAATGTTATTATGTTTGAGGGTACGGTTGAGATGTTTCCGTTTTGTTTTATCCTTACCTTTGTTTGTAAATTTTTAGAACAGCAGTAAGCATTCGAAGCCAATAAAATTGTGTGTCTTTTTAAAGTGAAATCAACGCAACTTTCGTTATTGACTCACCTTTCAATTGGGGTGTGTGGAGCATCTTCCTCACCTTCGGCAGCAGCAGCTTCATCACCGTCGGGCTCGACGGTCAAAATGTAGGGAACTATAGCCTCGTGAACGCCCTGCGGTCCCTTAGCGATTACCAGTAGCCGAGCCGGTCCCTTGGACATCACATTGAGTCTAGGGCCAAAGTCGGGGTCATCCATCTCGTCGTTAAGTACAGCATCAATCATATCATCATCCAGGGGTCGCGTCTCATCAAGGAGGATTTCGAATTCATTGGAAGTGAACTGTGAAGGACATTATAAATACATAATCAACAGATCTACCTGTTCGATAATGGCATCCGTTTGATCCGTTCCAACAAAAGGAGGGCAGATGATGACAAGCGTACTCTCCTGGTCAATTTCTACCAAACATGCATCTACATTAAGACAATGACCCTACCCATTTCAAGGGACTTCCGTTTGGCTTCGGCCTCTTTGGCTTCCTCAATTGCTTTCAAGTATAGATCTTCTACCTCAACGCGTGCAACAAAGCCGGCAAATGCTTCTTTTTCGTTCTTTAACATCTCTCTAATGGTCGTTTCCATTAACGGCGGATTAACACCTTTTATCACATTCACCAAAACTGTAGCCTGTTTTGATAAAAGTTGCAGATCATATCCAATGCAAATTTACCCCAAAAAATAGAAAGTATGGTTCTGATCTGCCACGGTACTTTTCCAAAGAGTCCACCGTGTCTGCGCAGGCTGTTGCAAATATCAGCATTTTATCGTTCAGTTCCTCCTTGAGGGTTCGAAAAAGTCCGAACAATGCGGCGCATGGACCGGTCCACTCTTGAAAAACATCGATCACTATGATGGTGGCACTGACTGGACGCTTTTCAGAATCTACCAACCTTTTAGCCCATCCATTTGCATGAGATCCTCCCAGTCCTCTTGGGTGGTTATTTCCAATTGAACTTGATCCTCCTTTTTGCCGCCTTTATTCATGGCCGAACCCCTATAAAAAAGTTGCAGAATACAGCCTAGGCCCGCAGGTAAATGACCCTAACTTGCTCGCAGTAATCGATTGGTCACTTAAATCCTATTGGCTGCCCAGCTGTTACGGCAACTGCATATAAGCGCGTGCTTTGTGTGTGCGTTTTATTCTAACCAAAATGGGATGATCTGATTCTTTTCAGACCACAAAGCCAACACTCTCCTCTTTATGAGCACTTCCTTCTAATAACACGATGAAGCAACAAATACTGAGATACGTTTTTGTCGAAATTTATGTGTCGTTAAAAGCAGAGAACATACATATTTCAGACAATTTTCTTCGGTATTGGTGATTGCTCTTTCAGTGGA